ATACGGAGATTATCCTGGATAAGCCCAGCGGAATCACACAATTCCTTAAAAGTGGAAGACAGAGCAGAAGAGTATAAGTTAGGGAGAGTTTGGAAGATGCTATACTGCTGCCTCTGAAGATGGCAGGAGAGGTCAGGAGCCAAGGGATTTGGAGCCTCTAGAATCCAGAAATGACAAGGAAATGGACTCTCCTTTAGGGTCTCTAGAAAGAACATAGCCCTGCTAACATCTTGATTTTAGTTTACTGAGTCCCCATCAAGGCCTCTAACTACTATGACTCTAAGATCATAATTTGTGTCACTTTAAGACACTAAATTTGTGGTAATTTGCTATAACTGTAATAGGAAACTAATGCCATAGCCGAGAAAGGAATTAGTGGCTGTCAGCAAAGGAAGGAAGAATAAGTTCAGCCATGAACAGTTTGTACGGTTGCCCAGAGTGAGAACTGGCCTATAGCTTCCTCCTATTCTGACTGTGAAGACTATAAGCTTCATAAAAGTGTTGCCATGACATTTTTGAACTGCTGTATTCTCAGAGACCAGACATACAATGGTCAATAAGTACTCCTTGAATGGATGACTGAATAATTCACATCTACCATCTTCATCATTCACACAATATTCTAATAAAATCATTTCAATGACTTCATAGTAAAAATTCCTGAAAGACTTTGATGGAGTAAGGTTGAAAATTTAAAAATTATCCTATTGGTTACTTCAATAGCAAGATAGATTTGGGGAATAATTAGGATATTTATGCTCTGGCCAGCTTCACATCCAACATCTTCACTTGTTTAAAAAGCTGTCAATGAAATTTTGGGAATGAGATTGAGCATATGAAGTCATTGAAATGAGAACACAACAGTTCAAAGATGTCATGGCAACACTTTTATGAAGCATATAGTCTTCACAATTTTATAAAAATACTCTGAGCCACTCACTTGGAAAATAGCAAATCTTAGGACTAAAAGTAACTTCAAAGATGAACCAGATGATCTATTTTGTAACTGACAGAAATAACATCTAAAGAGGTCATTAAATTGTGTGTATAAATACATATGCTGATAATTAACTTAAATGATTACGTAATTTAATATTATAATGTTATGGGAAAGCCGCTCTCCTGACTTAAAGTACTTGTCCTAGACTATAAAACTAAATAATGGTAAAGGTAGAGAGCCTAAGTTTCACTTAAACTCATGGTGGAAATTTCTTCGATAGTGCCCATTATGGTATAACTTCTGAGATCAACCACTAAGTCCATTCTCCTCAAACATAGGAGATAAAATTCAATTCCAGAGGTGTGATCTAGCTTAACAGAAACCAGATACTGTAGGTTACATGAAAGGCAGAGGATAGAGAAAGAACAGAGGATGACCTTCTGAGATGGCCCTTGCTTTCTCTGGAAGGACAGCCAGATGCAGATTCTAGAGGCCTATCGCTAGACACTGCTGGGATAGCAGAACTGGGGTGTTTCACTACTGTACATTTAACTGAGTCCAGTCACTGCTTCTTCAGCTTGCCCTGTATGGTCTTGGCTTCTATCAGCTGCCATCCAAGTCCTGGAGCCTCTGTACTGTAGCACCACCTTATCCTATGACGTCAGATCATGCTCACGACACCCCCTCCTCATTCTGAGTCTCCACTTTCATGCCTGGAATGCATGTGCTGCATTTTGGGACGTCTTTGGCACCCATTATGTCAAAAATTTAATGGGATTGGTTAACAGAGGGTGTTGATGAAACACATCTCAGATTGTAGGTAGGGATGTCTGATATAGCACAGAATGCCAAGATTGATTTGGAATTCAGATAAAAGTATGCTCTCAATATTGCAAAATGCTCAAAAAGCATTGCTTATCTAAAATTCAAATTTAACTGGGTTTCCTGGATGTTCTTTGCAAAATCCAACAACTCTACATTTGTGGGGCAATGGAGGCAAGGTCATGGCTGGTACCAGAGTCTGGATGGTTTGAATGGGAAGAGCAGAAAAAGAAAGAAACACAAGAAATATAATAATTCTATAGAAGTGATATCCATACCTCTTTTGCTCTCCTTTTGATCTTTTGTGCATGGTGTGGGTGTGTGTCCTTGTGTTATACATGACACAGGATTATGATATTGAGGAAACTCATTGATAGTGACATATGACAGATATTGATAAAACAACAGTGAGAAGATTAAATGCCGGGAAACTGGTTCGTAACCAATCAGTAATGCTAATTAATGCATATATGTAAACCGCCAATCATCGATGCCCAATTGCTGTACAGCCCATTCGCAGTTCTGTCATTTCTCATAATTTATGCATTTTCAGAGAACCATAAAATGTTACCAAAGGCTTGAGAAATCACCTAGGCCAACCTCGACATTTGCAGATAGAGTAACTCACACTCAGAGGAGGAAGTGATAAACACAGGATTATGCTGCTAAAGAATATTAATAACAGGGCAGTCATTTTTGAGGACATTTTCTAAATACTCTACTTGTATTATCACATTTAATCCTCACCACAACCCTTTAATCATCTTCATTATTCAAATGAGGCAAATTGAGGCAGAAAGAATCATGGAATTTATCTCAGGTTCAAGGTCACACAGGCAGTAAGTGGGGTATCTGCTAAAAACCCAACTAGTTTGCCTCTAGACTCCCGCTTTCAACCATGAAACCTTGTGGCTTCTCAGATAAGATGAGCTTCTAGCACCAACCATGTTCATACAAGTAAACCTTCATGGTTTGTAGTTAATAAGAAGGCCACTGACATGCAGCTTGTGGAGAGCGGTCGGATGCCGTTGCATACGTGCCAGCTTCAGAGTTGTGGCCGTTTTCTCCCCACTTATAAACACATCCTACAGCACAGTGGGTCTTGTTAATAATCAGAGAACTATTTATAGCTTCATTAAACTTTTTGAAACAGTTTCAACAAAATATGCAACACCATGGTCTACTATTCTAAGCAAACATTAACAGTGAAATAAATAGAAAGCATTTTATGAGTTTACATTTTCAGTAACTCATGAAAGAAAAGAGAGCAAAACAAAGGAGAGAGGGGCTACCTTCCTTACCCACTGTTAGCCACAAAATAAGCCCAGTTCTCCCAGGAAGAGGCAGCCCTCTTGTGAGCACACTGCCAGCCATTGCACCATTGCAGCGATAGGAGTCATCATATTCAGGAAAAACCAGCACCACCCTCCATGTTACATTCCCTTAGTTTTACATTTTGGTTTTTCTTCCCTATCTCTGAGGAGATTATTGATCCTTTGCATCTCAGATGACCAAACCGTTTTGTTCATTTCCTGACTCTAGCTCCCCTCTTTATCAAAGGTGGAGGATTAAGCATGCCTGTGTCTGCCTTGATATCATGCTTTCCCAAAGTCACCCTTCCTATGACACAAAAGCCTATCCAAGTTTAAAAAAGGGAAGAAAAAGTAAAGCAGGGAACAAAATTCTCAGAGGTGAGACCTGCAGGGCCTACCTGGGGGACACCAGGGCAGCACCACCCCCGTCCCACTAAAGCAGGACTTAGGAGCAGTGAGCCTTTGCCAGCCACCCTCCCCTGCCCTTTAGCTGAGGGAAGGATTTGTTTGATAAGTCTGTTTTGCAATTCTACTATCAAGAACCTCACCAAATCCTTTTAGAAATAAACCAGTGCCTTCCCTAACCCAGCCCCCTCCCCAAAGAACTGAGGGGGTACTTTTGAAATAAATGCAGCTTCTCGCAAAACAAATCTACATCCTCTCTTCTTCAGAAAGGTGGCAGTGTTGCCTTGCGGTTTTGACCACATCACAAACAGCGGTGGCGGCGATGTTTCTAGGGGATTAACAGACCAACTACCTCACTTCACCATGGACAATAAAAGACCATCTACTGCTGAACCCTGTGGTGAGCAGACTCGCCCCAGCGCTCCAGGGCACTGAGTCTTGAGCTCTTGAGTTTTCATCTCAATTCAACAGTCCAGAGACTAAGAAAATCTCCAAATGACTTCACGGACACCTAAAAGCCAGCAGCATCTAAGGAAGTCACAGGTGACCCTCGTTTTGCGACGGCCACTCTTCTCATTTTTGAAACTCATTACCCAGTGCCACATGGACTGGTCCAGTCAAAAGGGCTAAGGGACGCTTCGTAAACTAGGTCTGTCTTCTAATACCATTCAGGTCAGCGTGCTCATAAAGTAACCCGTCTTCTGAGTAGAGGTTCCACCATTTACTGAGCACTTGTTACCACTGTTATCAAATTAATACTCCACACCAAGCTACTAAGAAAGCACTCGAGAAGGCCAGCGTCTCCTGGTACTCGTGGACACCCACACATCGCTATTTTCCACAGGCACATCTACCAGCTCTTCCACTCACCTTCACTCAGCGTCCCTTGAGAAGTTTTCTCTATGCACCACTAACACAGAAATTTGGGGGAAAAGTCTCCATTTATAAATATCAGATGGTTTGGGAAAAAAATATTTGTGGCACTGGGCTTTATTTTTTTTTTTCTACAGTGATGTCATTTTAAATACTTGGTGTGCTCCAAATTTGCTATTTTTACTTTCCCCAAGTGACTTTTTTGGGAAATACATTTGTTTGGATTAGCTACATTTTAAGTGACCCTGTATCTAATACACAGCCTCAGGTTCATCTTCTCAGCAATTAGAACTGAGATATTATGCAGTTCCCAAACTTGAAATCCCTTATTTGAACTTTTTCGAAAGTTGTTCCTTTCCGATAAACCACTCCAAAACTTCTATTCACAGATACAGAGAAAAAAATAAAAGATAAAGATAGGCCTATTCATAAACAAAACCACATTCAACAACTCAAAGCATTGGAAAAACGGAAGACGTTTGAGGCCCCCAAAGTCAAAGAAAATTCTTCACTTCCAAAATGTGCTTTTGGGGACCAGAGTTGAAGTAGCCACGGCAGGCTTTGAAACATTTATTGGAAAGCAGTGTAGAGTTGAGACGTGCAGAAGAGGAAAGTTTAAGAAGGAATGCTAAATGCCTTAGCCCTACCTGATCTGAATTTGCTCCTAATCAGCAAAGAATGCTCAGACCCCAGAAGTGTCATGTTGAATCTCAGTGAGCCGCTGGTCCCTTTGCGAGACGCCCCCCGTTTTCCACCAGGATCAGGCTCCCGGGAGCCCAGCTGACCGCAGCTAACAACCCAGAATTCATCAAACTCGCCGCGAGCTCCCCTGGGTAGGAGTACAGTGGCAGCCAGTGGCCGAAATCAGTGTGCCCAGAAAAGTGGCGGCTCCCCGCTCGCTGCGCGAGGCTAGTTAACTCTTAGCCGGCGGGACCCTCCTCCTCTGAGTTTGGCCAGGAGCAGCGGCATCCCAGGCGTTCTCGGCTGATGTCATAGGCTGCCCGCGCTCGTGGAGGATCGCCACCACGCCTTTATGAAGGTCCCAAGTTTGCTATCTGATCCTTTTTTACTACTGACAGGAGCTCAGCCAATCAGGAGCGACGAGCCGGAACCTGGACTCGGAGCAGCTGCAGGCGTCCCGGGAGCCGGGTCTTAACTCTTTGCAGCGGGCTGCACCCGCGCGGAGGCGCGGAGGCGCGGGGGGCGGGAGGCAGGGTCCGGCTCGGGCACCGGCTCGGGGCAGACGGCAGGAGCCAGGAGGAAAGAAAGGACTGCAAAGCGCCCACGCTTGCTGGAGCGGCGCCGCGGCGGGCGGCGGCGCGGGAGATCCCGGGGCGTGGGCTCGGGTACGAGCCGCCGGGGCTTCCCCGGCCGCCGCGCGGCTGCTGCCCGGGAGGCAGGACGCGGCGAGAATCTCCAGCCCCCGAGACAGGACGCGTGCGCTGGCGGGGCGGCAAGCTGGGTAATTTTTGCAGATAAGCGCTACCCCTGGAAGATAAACGAGGCTTCCAACGGACCAGGGTCCCCACATTTTTCTCATTTGAGCGGCCCAGGGCACAGCAGAGACTAGAATACATGTCGCAGCTCCACTAGCAGACTTGTATACACGACCACGGAGAAAATGAAGTCTTTCCTTTTCTGGGATATGCTCTTTTTGGATAAACCTGACTTGGTGTGTCTGGAGATCCAGCTGGGACACAGTGCATTTCCCCCGGAGGGAAATACAGGAGTTGAATGCCCTGTGGGGCTCTAAACAAGGTGGGAGGGTCTCTGGGGCTGGGGGATGTCAGAGCTAGGCTTGGGCTGGGGCTCAGCTTGGCAAGGGGCAAAGGCTTTTCCTAGGAGTAAGTACCCCCTTAGGGGAGAAACCATTCTGAATCTAACATGGAGTTATTCCACACCCAGAATGTGCCAGGTGGTTCGGCCTTATCTATAAAGCAAAGGCTCAAGAAGCTTGTTTAATAGTTGTTGGCACAGAAGATAAAAAGCAAACTCTAACCGTACATAATGTTAGGTTGAATTTATTTGCAAACTTACAGGCACTTAGGCCTCTAGGTCTCATCTATTAGGTTAATATCTAACCATGTCTTAGAAGACCTCTTACACCCTTAAAATGAAGGGTGACAGATAAAAATCTGATGTGGCAGTAGCATCTAACACTGAGTTCCAGTGTCTACCTGAATTCTCTGGTCCTTGAGCTCACTCTTTTTGTCTGCCCAGACTTCTGTGCAAATGGGTCTCTGGGTAGACCATTTAATTACTGAAGGTCAGAAAGGAGGTGGAGCAATCCCACCCATGCGCCTCTTGGGGACAGTGTCCAGATGGTGGGGCTCTATTTACAGGCTGATGAGGTGTGTATGGGCATCTCAGTGGTTACATATCATTCCCCCATAGAGTATATTCCTTTCCCAGTCCTGCTGTAATAAACTACAAGTTTAGTGGCTTAAAAACGAGACATTTATTATTTTGCAATTCTGGGAATTAGAAGTCTAAAGTGGGTCTCATTGGACTAACATCAAGGTGTTGCCAGGGCTACATTCTCCAATGGAGGATCTAGGCTAGAACTGTTTCCTTGCATTTCCAACTTCTAGAGCTGATTCCTGGACCCTTCCTCTATCTCCAAAGCCAGAAATGGCAGGGCAAGTTCTTATCGCGTGTTGTACTGGCTCCTGCCCCCTTCTCCATTCCTCTTCCACCATTTAAGACCTTTGTGATTATAGTGGGTCTACCAGATAAACTCTACTGTAAGAGCGACTGATTATTAATTCATCTACTTCTTATCTTATTGTTCTTGGTCATAAAGTGGAACACACTCACAGATTCTGGGGATTAAAATGTGGGCATGACATGAGGGGGCATTATTCTGCCTGCCATACAGAGTGACCCCTCCTTCTGCCAGTATGTTCTTGTGTTCAGTCAAGCCTTAGGCTCCTGTTCTTCAATGAAAAGAGGTCAAGTGGAGGGAGGTTTGGGAATGGGGATGTGCAGGAGCTGAAAGCTTTCTGGCAAGCTTTGAGATGCCTGTGGCAGGGAGGTACTTCAAGATTAGCGGGATAAAGAATATTGCTAAATTATCTGAGTAGGAAAAAAAAAAAACTATTCTGAGCAACATTAAAAAAACAAAAGGAAAGCCAAACAGATTTTTATCCTGAGGGCTACAGAGCTGAGAAGAGATACATAGCAACTTGGCGGAGGATTATTTTTTCAGCGAAAGTTGTAATGAAAATAGCTGAAGCCAGCATTGAATGTGAGGGTCTGCATGACCCAGATGAGTTGGACAGGAGTCAACTGTTTTTCCTTTGCAAGCCTGAGAGCATGTGTGTGTGTGTGTGTGTGTGTGTGTGTGTGTGTCTAAGGGAGCACAGTTTCTTTTTTGAGTAAGTTTGGGAAATGCTGGTAACCATAGCCCTCCTCAATTTTCCCATCACAGCATGGAGCTGCTGACGTCTGCCCTCTGGGATTTATACCCCCTATGGCGTGGAATATCTATGGATATAAATATGCTTATATAGAAGCACATCCTACTCCATCTCTATGCAAGCATTTTTTTTTTTTTTTTTTGAAAAAAGATTTGTTGGTAGAACTTGGAGAGGATGTTTCCCCAGGGGACAGCTCTCCCAGGCTGCTATGCTCTGGAGGCAGTCTGCTAAGGCAGCAATGGCATGCCACCAAGCTCTTTCCTGCAGCCTGACGGCTAGGCAGCACTTCTGTGCCTTGCTAACTGGTGACCTTCTCTCCTGAGGCCTAGAGTGAGACTGTGATGTGATGCAGAGGAGAAACATGAGTTTCCAGCATCAGGAAGCTCTTTATTTGAATCTAGACTAGCCCTGTGACCTGGAGTGAATTATTAAAGTCCTCTGAGACACATCTGCATGTAAAATGGAATGAGAAATACTTGCTTCCCAGAAGAGTTGGGACATTTAAATGAAAAAATATACCCGGAGTGCCCAGAATAATTTTTTCTGGCCCCTCTTTTTCCCCTCCCCCCCTCAACCACTCTAAGCCATTCTGTATCCTTCCCCTTCGTTATGACTTCCCTTTACGCTGCATTAGTTATCTATGCCTTTGTAATAAATGACCACACATTTAGCAGTTTACAACAATACACACATTTGTTGGCTTAGTTTCCATGAGTCAGGATTCTGGTCATGGATTAGTTGGTCCTTTGCCCAAGGTTACAATCAAGATATTGGCTGGGACAGAGTTCTCATTGAGACTGCCTCCTCTTCCATGATTACTGGTTGTTGCAGTTCTGGAACTCCTCATGGGTTTGCTTCAAGGACAGCAGAAGAATCTCTCAGGGAAGACACTTAGAGAGGCTTCACCTGATTAGGCCAGACCCACCCAAGATAATCTTCCTTTTGATTAAAGTCAGACTCATGAGGAACCTTAACAATATCTGCAAAATCCCTTTTTTTGCCCACATAATAGAACCTAATCTTGTTAATGTCATCTGTCATGTTCACTAGTTCCTCCTGCGCTGAAGGTAAGGGGATCACCTAAGCGTAAATCTTTGAAGCATCTTAGAATTATGTCTTCCAGATCCCTGGCCATCAGCCAAGATGGGAGTGACTGTGCCTGTATGAGAAAATCCAAAGCTCACCTCGGGGGAGTCGGCTTGAACTGTGGTGCCTTATGGACCTCCACGTAAATAAAGCAGCATGAGCTCAGCAACTGGGTGAGCAGGCACAGGGTGATGAGTGAAGGGAGCGAAGCAGCTCATCTGTATTGGCCTCAGGATCTCCAGTTCACGCCTTCTTAGCACAATCCCACCCAAGGTTATCACTCTCTTCTTAGAGCTCACTTTTTAGAGCTCACTGTCTTCTTGTCTTCAATGCCTGTTCTAGTATCACCACATCTGTTTTCTTCCACGTGTCTGATCCTGATGAGCAACTTCAGGAGAGTATTTGTTACTCTTGCATCCGTTGATTGAAAATGCTTTTAGAGGTCTGTGTATGTCTGTTTTGGCTAGAGCCCTAGTAGATGTACAATATCAATACAGTTGTGCAAATTCAAATGATAGGAGCAGGGATAAGGGAGAATATGCTGGGGTGGGGACATATGCAGCAAGTGGGCAGCCACACCTAGCTGGAATTGATAGTGTCCATTTGGGAAGAAATATGAACCCTCATTGGTATACCTTCCAGGTGTTCAAATAAACTGGAAATCTAGGTTGTAATGTTAAGTGTACTGGTTTTTATTTTTATTTATTTTTTATTTTTTTTAAAGAGGCATGTATTTTTATTTATTTATGATTTATTTATTTGTTTGTTTGTTTTGTTTATACAAGCACTGGGTACAGTCAGAAGCGTGGGAGGGTGAGAGAGTTCACCAGAGCCAGAGCGGGGAGCAGAGCAGGCAGAAGGACGGAAGTACACTGCTGAGGGGAGCAGCGGGCGGCAGGAGAGGTCTGCGCGCCATGTGGGACCCTCCTCCGGTGGCTGGGGAGCAGCCGGGGATCGAACCGACGCCACAGAGGCCGCGGGCAGCTTCGCAACCCAGAGCTCAACCGCTGCGCCACCGGGGAGGCCCTGTACTGGTTTTTAAAAAAATATAAGCAACTATCAGAAATTAAAAAAAAAGTTTTGAAACACACTGTGGAGGTCTCCCTGGTGGCGCAAGGGGTTCAGTCTCAGGACTGAGAAGTTATCTGCAGCGACTGCAGCAGGAGTTCAATCCCCGGCCAAGGAGCTACTCACATGGTGCAGCAGACCTCTCCTCTCTTGCCCTCTGCTCCCCCAGCAGTGTATTTCAGTAGATCCGCCTGTTCTGCTCCCCACTCTCTCTCTGGTGAATCCTCTCAGCCTCCTCTCACCTCGGGCGTATACCCCAGCTCTTGCATGCATATATAAACAAATCTTAAAAAACAAAAACAAACCAACAACACAGTGTGAATCAACCTAAAGCCAATCCAGGCATGTGACAATTTAGGGGTCCTTTAAAAAACAGACATACACTAAGAAATATGATGGTTAGTGTGAGTGACTATTTACTTTGAATGAGAAATGGAATCACAACTGATTGGAGCATAAA